CATGCCCCCCATTCCCCCCAAGAGTGCATGGTATGCAGTGACAGGGAGCTAGCCCCCCCCCCCCCCGATGTGCTGCCTACAGGTCCATCCCACTCCCTACCCAGGCCCTTTGGCCATGGATGCTGGCTCTGGGCTCCAAGCCTCATACACTGCCCAGGCTGGGCAGCAGCCCCAGCCTTGCCCAACTCCCTCCCCACCTCACTACAGGAGCCTCAATCCGCACCCCCCCAGACTTATCTGCAGAGAGCTGCTCTCCAGGCTGCCTGGCGGCCATGTATATGGGCACACATGCACATGGCATCCCCTGCCTGATAACACTCCTGCTCCCTGCAGCACCTTGCAGGCTGGAACTCTGCCAGCCTGCAAGGGGAAACCCACCATTTCCCATGTTTTTCTCCTTAAAATGAGAAAACATGAGTTTTACCGTGTTTGTCTGTGGTGAACAGAAAACCTGTATCCCTGGTCATCAGCATAGATTTTACTTTTTCATTCTCTTTTGACTATTTAATGCAATTGGCCTGAGTTTTTTTTATTGAGGAACACTCCAGCAGGAAATATAAATGTTTATGCACTTCCTAATGCCTTCTAGAATGCATGATTATTACTTAAAAGCAATAATTAGTAGTTTATGCTGCCCTCAGAAAGCACCAGTTCCTTGAGGATGCAACCATTGCTGTTTTCAAACAATGGGTTATTTTTAGCATGTCCTTAGGCACCATTATAATCTTTATTTGGAACACAGAAAGCTAAGAAGAGCCTAAATTCCAGCATAGAATCTCTCAAACTGAAGTTTAACGAACCGAAATAACTTATTGTCCATAAAAGCAAGATTCTGACAGCATTAGTTACAGACAGATTGTGCCAGCTCCTTAAAATAGTATTAGCTATGGTACTCTCCTTTGCAAATTGCTATCTTTAGTGCCTTACTCTTTTTGAGCAAATGCTACCAAACACTTAATAATGGTGGGGAGAAGAGACTGTTCAAATAAACCCACTGCACATTCAAAATTTAATCCCAGAAGCCATCAAGTTTAAAATTAGCATTTTTAAGTGAACAACAAAAGTTCAGATAATAATGGGAAAGTGAGATAACTAATACCTAGTAAATACAATTATTCTACATTATTTCTCTTAAAATCACATGCAAACATGAAATGTAAAATGATGGTTATTTTAGAAAACAGGAACGAACAGAGACAACTACACCTCAATTTACTTACATTGTAAAAGTGTTATTTAATCATAAAAATCTTGGATCCACAATTTTAACAAAACCAAATGAAATTGTGCCACTCAACAGATGGCAACACATCATGAAAAGACAACTTACAGAAACTGTTAGAGAATCCTGTACATCTTTATGGCTCACTAACTGGACGTTACCATCTTCATAATAATGAACCTATGAACAAGTGAAGCCAACACCACATTAAACATTACAGAATAGTTAGAAGAGACAGAATCACTGTAACAAAATGTCAGTATTAATCAGCATTTAACACACTTTGGAGGAACTGAGTCACCAGTAGTTCACTCGCTGCAGTGGAAATGCACAATTACAGGCAACACGTAGGTGAACCCCAAAGAGCTTTCTTAGAATCTTAAGTTTCTCCACAACTGAGTGTTCACTTTACCCCAGCTACAGGCTACAGTAGAAAATGTGATCTGTTTCTGAGGAATTCTTGGTGAGCTTTAGGCTAAAGTAACAGCGCTGTCCACATGCCTCACCCAGAACTTGTCTGCCAGAGGCAACGTGACATCTCCCATCAAGGACAGACAGGTCTGATCTTTTTAAGTCAGTCCATGATTTGATATCCCCTCATTAGATAGAGACAGCTCCCAAACATCAAAAATGAACATTTATACAAACCAAGGAAATTCTTTTTACACAAACCTTGGCTAAGAGACAGAGCAGACGGAGGTGAAAACCTCATGAGATTCTGTTCCCATATCATAACATCTTTTCTACCACTCTCAGGATATGAGTTTAAGAACAAGTATCATTAGGTAACTGAAGGTGTAACCCTTATGGCATGTCAGCTACTGCTTATATGCAGGCTCTTACCCTTGGTTAAATGCAAGGTAGCTTACCGCTCAAATCAAAGTTTAGCAAAAAGTTGTTAAAAAAACAAAAACGAAAAAACACAGTGCTCAAATGCTCTGTAAGCCATGTGGCAGCAAGGCAGGTACTAATCTGTTTACTTTCAGCAAGGGAGATGAGGTTAGATATTAGGAAGATCTTTTAAGGCAAGCAAAACAAAAATAGGGTGCCTGAAAAGGTGTTGAAATTAGAGGTTTTTAAGAATAGGCTGCAAACATCTGTCAAGGATGGTTTAGGAGGTATACTTATTTTTCCTCAGTGAAACAAGATAAACTAGATGGCCTTTTGAGGTCCCTTTCCAGACCATAAATTACTGCATGGATAATTGTAATGAAGTGTGCTTATATACTCCATTTTTGCTCCCTGAACCAGAGATCTTATAAAAATCTTACTATAACGCCCTTAGATTCCCCTAGTAAAAAGCATTTAGAAATTGTCTGGTTAAACTTAGTTTAGCATAAGCCTACCTGAATTTTCAAGATGCCAGCCACCTGAGTGGTTGAAGGGGTGATTGTAAACTTCCATTCTGACCTCCAACGACCATTCCTTTAAAAATAAAAATAGCAGCTGTAAATAAGGCAGGAAAAAAATTGAATAAGCTATTTAAATTTCAAGCACTGGTTTACTTCACTAGTTGTGTACAGTTCTTGGTTTCAGCCTGAAATTGCTAAAGGAGATGGAATGGACAGTATAACATCCAACAGTATCACTAAAAAGCAAAACAAAGCAAACCTAATAGATTAAGACCCTTAAACAGGTGAAGGGAGATGAGACACTTTCTGTGAATACTCATTCTTGCTTTTAGACACTGATCAAGATGATTAACAGAAACATTCCAGTAATAGGACCCTTCTTTCCTTCTGAAACGGTTAAGAGCTCTAATGATCCACTTTCCTCATTTTTTTAGTTACTGAATATGTTTTTCTGCATATTGCTAGTTTCTGGACAAAGGAAGGCTGACAGGATGATTTCCAGCAATGAAGTCAACTTTTTGCAGCCAACTAACTTTAGAACCTTTACTTTTACATAAAAAACACACAACACAAACTCTCATAGGATGAATTTCTGTAATATTGAACTGCTGTTAAGATTTTGGGTTCCTTCTGCAGAAATATGAAGCTCTAGAACTGTTGGCATTGCTTTCCAGTAGAAAGAAATACAATGGTCTTCCCAAAATTTCAGACATCTGGAAAGAGAAGTACAGATACAGATTTCTACTTGCTTCCTCTCCTGCAAGCTAGACAGTCCTAACATACTTAAATAATTATTGGATCTTTCTACATTAGAGATGTGTTAAGAAGGAATCTAGACTGCAGCTCAATTTTTGGTGTGTATGCATTCAGGGGGAAGGAAACAGTTCGGTGAGAAAAAGAATTTAATTTCCACAAGGTTTATTTCCTTTCCAGTGGTATGAATACTGAAAAGCATAGTTTAAACATTACCAGTCAGAAATTTGTATGTGCAGTTAAACATCTGAAACACTGTTAACAATACAGGAAACCCTCATTAGTCACAAGTTTGGCATTCGCAGTTTCAAATATTTGCAAATGCCGAACCCGCTTCTTAAATACACTTAAAGGAGCTCCTCCAGAGCACCGCATTTGCCGCCACCGGGCTCCCAACACCGCCAGCATAGCCATGCCCCCCCAGCTGCTAGGAGCACTGAGTTCATGAACGTAGTGCCTTATCCGCGGATTTCGCCATTTGCAGGGTAAATGAGAACGCATCCCCCCGCAAATGGCGAGGGTCACCTGTACTGTGCATGTTGTTAGATAACAGCAATGTTTCACTCCAAGGGCCTTTTTCTCAAAAATCAAAAAAAAAAAAAAAACCATACTAAGTTAAACATTTTCAGATCCCAACAAGATAATACCCATCCTATTTTCAAAACCCCTGCTAAAAAAACCCAATCATGGTAGGGCCAGATAAGTAACTGCCTCTCTTGGATGGTGCCTAACAGCACTGTACGCCATCTGGGAGTTCTGCTTCAAAAGTGCAGCTTTGCATGTACACCAAGAAGTTACCATAAACTGCTTTGCACTGCAGATATGATTTAACCTTCTGGCATCTCACAGAACACTGAACTGGTCCTACAACTGGGATGCTAGATGCCACTGTAATGCTACCAGTGCCATAAAACTTGAGCACTTTACAACTTGCAGCTATAAGGAACTCTACAGCACTTAGTGACTTAGGGTAATAAAAGAAATTCTAATTTGTCAATTCATTCTGTATACCTAAATTCCTTTCAAGCAAACAAGATATTTTTTAATATTTGTTAGTCATATTATTAACAATACCACGCAGGTTGTTAGGTTAGGGCAATGTTTCACTCCTCGAGGGCCTCCATTTTCACAAAAGATTCAGCTATTTCAAACAGAGCATAAAGTCCTTAGGCATCTTTCTGTATGAAGGGCTTTAAAACTCATGAACAATGTGCACCAAAGCTGAGCAAAGAAGTTCTGGAAGTTGGTTGCAAACCAGCTAGATGTTTTTCAGCTGCTTTTTGTAATGATTTTTATGCGCTTTTATCTATTTACATACCTGAATCACTATACTTTTAATGAGAGAATGTTTTTCCCTGGAAAACTGATGTACCAATTTTGAATCTTCTAGTGAAACCAGGAAGGTAAAATTGCCTGGTTTGCTATCAGTTCACCCACCTGGCAGATTGCCACAGCACTGGGACCATGCCAGTCCCATCTGGAGTTGGGAATTTCAAGGTCCCAGACTGTCTATAATTCATAGGCAGGCAAGGTACACCCTATATAGGCCCAGAAAGTCCTGTCACTTCCATTTTGAAAGAGTTGAAATATTTTGATTTCTAACCAAAAGGTTGATTTCCTCAAGCCCAATGCCACAGGAGACCTGAATTGCCTGTTTTTGTCTTCGCATAAGCACTATTTTTAAACATTCTGGAATTTTCCCCAGATTGGAAATTTGGATCGTCGGGTGCTATTAGCCATATTAATCCGTTTGTAAGCAATGCATACGAAACCACAGATAGCCATGTACTTACAGTATCATACAGGGATAAGCTGAGAGCCTTATGCAATGAGGATATCCTCAATACTTGGCAGAATAGTTTGGGGGTTTTTTACAGAAGCATTTGCTTTAGTGTTACACGTCTAACACTTTAAATAATATACTGCACTTATAAAAGTAGTTTAAATCTAGGTCAAGGTTCTTTAAACTCTGAATTCATCGATATCTGAAAACTTCAGAAAATATCTGAAAAATATGGCAGAATATTTGCCCCGTAAGAAAACATTAGCCCAATATAAACAACAATATTTCAGTTCATTCTAAACTAGGATACGCAAAAACCCAAAAGGTGAAAATCAGACATCTAAGTTAGTCAGGGTAAGTCAGAAATGGAAAGGCACTGACATTTCATTTTTATCAGGCATGCCGATTCAGTAAACAGGCTGTTCATTTTTCTGGAATAAAATTCCTCAAAGACTTCAAGAACTGGAGGATTTCAAAACCTGGTGATTTTTCTTTCCCACTATCGTCTGACCTGTTGCCACCCTCCTCTAGACTAGAAGTCTGGATAACTGAAGACTTAGTCTGTATGTATTTAACAAGACCTATTTACGTGAAAGAAAGGCCGTGCTTGGATTACAACTATTGAGCACCACGATAGGAAATGTACATGTAGATTAAGTCTTGTTAACGACTTTCAGACTAAATACGTCTTCAGGTCCTTCTCCCTTCTCACTAAGTTTTCCCATTTTTAACTCCCCACCACAACTGTCCTGGGAGAATGAACTGTTTTCCCAAGCCGTATGATGAACTATGAAAGAATCAATCAGATTTGCATTCTTCCCTTTGTTCTGGGAGAAACTGATTAAGAATGAACTAGGGCTAAAAAAAGCCAAGAGAGAGACGGAGGCTGGATACCTAAGCTGAAAAATGCAACTCATTTCCATACTGAGAAAGCAAACTTTTCCTCAGGAAGAACTTGGACTATTGATGTTAACAGTTTAAACAAGCTTCAAAGGTATAAAGAACATAAACACCAATCTGCAGCAAGTTTCACATCTCTACTAGCTATACAGTGAAACAAATACTCTAACATTCATGGGAAAGGGGCAGATTTTAGAACTGGCTGTAAGAAAGTGAGACTGCCTCCTTGGCATTCCCCCTGCTAGTGCAAATCTGCTGTTTCTGGTAGAGCAAAGAAATCAGAAGATCAGTCCATGTCCAAATAGCTGTGAAAGTCTTGGTCCTCAGCTTATCCTTTACCATATGGCAGGAAGGAGAAAGCAGTGTAGCAGGGTTTTAAACATAAAAGATATTGGCTGGAACAATGCTCAAGGAAGAAGAGACGCAAGAATCAATAAAAAGTCAAAGGAGAAATATGAGAGAATTTATCAAGTGTTCTGCAAAACACGTGGAGATCTACACCTGTTGATTGGTCTCCAATGGAGCAAGAGTCTTCTAAATAGCTCCCATTAGGGGCTTTTAACAGACACGTCTTCCCCTCCACCCTCCCAAGGAAGTGAACCACTCCAAATTTAGTAGGCATACTGCAATAGGTTAATTATTCAAGCAAAACAGAATGTAGCAAATACAATATTAATTAAAATAACTTACCAAAAGTTTTTTGCTTGAAACTGATGGCTCTCTATACATGCAATAATGGTTTGCTGTCCATCAATTGTTTTACCGTACACCTTAATTGGAAGGGAAACAGTACAGTCATGTCAAATTTTAGATTGAGACCTCAGCCACTGTTTAAGTGCTTTAAGCAAGATAGATATTTGAGATGCTTAGATTTTTTTCTTTTTAAAAATAATTTAGGAGGTATTGATCACATTGTAGAAGTATTTTCTAGCCATTCACCCATTGTTCTTATGCATAAAGAAAAGCAACCAATATTTTAACTATAAGTTTCTTGGTCATCAGCTTGTCCTTCTTTGGCATGTGGCAAAGTACTTACAGGAATCACAAAGTAGGCACTTGAAACATTTCATTCTTAAAACTTCAATTATAAGAAACCTAATCAAACAGGAAGAGGGAACACTGGCATGCCCTCAACAACAGCTAAGGCTTATATTTATTTCAGTGAGCCTGTTAGTGCTGCTTCCTATAATGAAAGGTAATAAATAGATCTGAAGTTTAAAGAATAGAAACTACTTAGGAAACAAAGTTTGATAAAGGGATGATCTGGACCACAGCAAAAAAGTTGAACTTTATGAATCTGCTAGCATCTCCTGCTTTTAAGCAGCTGAGGACAGGATAAAGCACTGTTCTCCCCGTCACCAGGTCCTACTATACCAAACCCTTTATATTTGTATACTGAAAGCAGCTGAAAACAATCTATGTAACATAGCAGGGTTGGAGTGATGCTGTAGCTGTTATGGTCCAAGAAGTGAAAGAAGCAAGGGTTTTTTGGTGATATATCTTTTATTGGACCACAGTAAAAGATTCCAACTCATTAGTGACACGATTCTATTCTCATAGAGTTGTTGCAATAAAAGATAATATTGACAAAAATCTTTTCTTCCAAAACACAAGATTCCAAGTAACCAATGGCATCGTTTATTTATGCTAGTCTACAACAAAATTTAAATAAAAAAGCCTGAAGAACTAGTGAAAAGAATTATATTCTGTTCAATTTGCTTAGAGATAATAGCACAGTAAGTACTAGTTATGTATAATTTAAAGTTGAGCTTTTCATCACACAAGATCAGAATTCAACTTGCAGACATAAACAATGGTAAATTCAGAAAAGAAAGATCCTAAAAATAGTTGGTTCCTCAAGGCAACAACCAATGAATAATGCTGAACATCATGCCATCAACAATTAAATTAATGGTTCTATTTAGGAAATTAAGTCCATTCAATAATATCAAGGGTCAAATACCAAACATCTTTGTTACCACAAACTTTAAAAAAAATTAAAAATACTTAAATTTACACTACATTTGAGAACGATTCAGAGATTGTGTTCCCTGCAAGTTAAGAAGCTGATGCCATATAGTTAATACTTCCTAGAACAGGTTAGCCACCTTTTCAGGCTGCAAGGCAGACTGACCCAGTTCGGGTCAGAGGTGGGCTGGCATATGGGGCATGAGTTTGGTGGGCACTAGAATCCAGCTGCTACCAACCCCTCTCTTCCCAGTAGCTGCACACGGAAAGTGTCTTCAGCAGAAAATCACTTTCCCAGCAGCCACTTCCCGTTGCCTTTGTGGGGATGAGCACCAGCAGCAGACACTTTTCCTGTGCCACTATGGGGAAAAGTGCAATGGCTGGGTCCTGCCCTCTGTGTCAGACAGTCTTTTAGTCAAACTGGGTTAATCTGGCTACTGAAATCCCACTTCCATGGGCCAAATCAATCTAGCTTGAAGGCTGTAGGTTGCTGACCATTATCCTAGAAGTTTCAGAAAGAATGGAAAGAAGGGTGTTGGTAGATAAGGGCGGATACCAGGGGAATGTAGCAGTGCAGTTGCCCCCCGCCACCTCCTGCTACCTTTGCTCCCCAACAATCCAAGCATTGGGGGGGGCACAGAATTTCTCTTGCCCTGTTCCAATTGGAGGCTGAAGCTGCACAAGAATCCAGGCTTAGCAAGGGAGAGGCTGTAGCGGGCAGATTTCCTCCCTGCACCCTGCCACCTGTGTCCCCTGCTGACTGGAAGCAAGCACTAAAAGGAAGAACCTGTCCCACACCACCATCCTGAGGTGATGCAGAGGCACAGGGGAAGCTCCAGAGTTGCTCCTGCCCTGCTCCAGCCTATGCGGTGCCTGACTTGGCCAGAAACCACACTGGTAGCAACAGCACACAGGTTTCTCCTTCCAGTGTCTGCTGCTGTGGGGAAGGATGGTGGAGGGGGCAGTAGGCAGGCCTGCCACCACTGCTGTCCCTGGTCAAGCTTGGCTCCCAGCACAGGCCCCAGCGTGGGGCAGGAACATTTCTGAGGTTCCCCTATTCCCAGGTCAGCTAAGGACAGCTGACCTTCCCCCAACTTTCATGTGCCTGCTCCTCTACCCAGCTCCCTGATGTCCCTTGCTGACCCAGGGAGTCCAGCCACACCTCACTCCAATTCCCCCATGGTCTGAAGAGATCTGCACTTTCCACCCATGTTCGTAAGTGGTGCAGAAAGAAACACAGACATTGATGAAACACAAGTCTCCATCTATAATTATGTTGTGGACATATGCTGGTTGCTATTATTTTGTATTTCAGAGATCACTATCCATCTGAAAGTGAATGTAAAAATTGAACTTACAAGCATGTTTAGACAGCTGTTTTGTACTTACTGTGCAGACACCACTTGGGTAGTGTTCTTTCACATAAGCTCTCACTGCAGTCTCAATTGAATTTCTCCAGGATTCTAATGCATTTTCAGCTTCATGGGGCCTAGGATCAGTAGCCTCTTTTCTTAAGTGATCAAATTTAAAGGAGACCTTGTTTTTTGGATCCAAAAATTTTCCATTACCCAAGTCGCCATGTTCTGTTATCAAGACCTGCATCACAAAATTCTGGTTGTAACATTTTTCTGTTTGACATTACATCATTCAGGACAGAACTACCCAATTTACAGACTGAGCTGTACCAAAGGGAGACACCATCAACATCCTAATTAGAGACTTCAGGTATGAACCAAGTCCATGCACATCAAACAGAAGAGTAGCAAATTCAGAATTTCAGTGCTGTTTGAATTAATGCACTGGTAGCTCCAGCACAGAGTGAACTGTTTTTGAAGACTTCAAATATTTAGCCAAGGACAGCACTGTACAACTAAGTTAGTCAGAGGCTGCATGCCATTGGGGTGAATGTTCCCTGCTGTGCCAAGCACCCTCTTGCTGCTGCTCCCCAGCATCTCCATTGCACTGCATGACCTCCCACTACTACTCCCCAGTCTCAACACTGCACCATCCACCCCAGTGCCCCGACTCATCTTTAAGGTTCCAGTTGCAAACTTCCCCACTGCACAGCCCACTCAGGAACCCCAAGCTACTGTACTGGCTTCCCTGGCACTGAAGAGGATGTTCTTGTCCCTGGGGCAAGGGCAGAAAGGGGAAGCCAGAGGGAGGAGGAGCCTGGAGCCCCTGGGTGCTGCCACAGCTGGAGCAACAGGGACAGCAATAGCTGGCTGGGAGCCTGGGGGATGCAATTTGACCTGTAACAGGATGCATGCATCCTGCAGGCAACCAGTTGGGCAGCCCTGGCCTAGTATATTAATATAAAGTAGAACTAAAAGTTATTCAATCCCTTTGTTTACCTTGCAGGATCGAAACTATGGTGTTCCAACAATACTTCATATTATTTACCTCATAAATAGCTGGTTAACTTATCATACAAGCAATGCTTATTTCTTCAAGACAATGAGAGTCTATGATGTGTCAAGATTGATGGTAGTCTTATGCAGAGTTTAGATTATAGTCTATGAGACAGCTGGGACACAGACGATCCTGCCCGAGGCAGAGAGTTAGACTAGATCAGTGTTTCTCAACCAGTGGGATGTGTCCCATTGGTGGGACTTGAAGGTTGTGTAGGTGGGACTTCAACTCATTGCCCGATTGAAAAAAATCAGTTGTTTGCTCTTCAAATAGATGAATCAACAGATAACTTGAACAGTGCAATTTTGTGGGGTTTTGTTTTCATCACAGTGGGACGCAAGGTGCAAAATGTTGAGAAGCAGTGGACTGGATGACCTCTGGAGACCCCTCTTAGCCCCATTTCTCTGTGATTCTACGAAGCTGATAAGAGCATGCTCTTAAACTACACATTTGATCCATACCTGCTCATCGTAACCATCAATTTTTACTGGAGTAAACTGGTCCAGGTTGTATTGTGCAAATGCACTAAAAAGACAAGAGATATGTATATCAACAATCTACTTAGCTTTACCATAAATCTTTCAACGTTACAAAAGTTTAACAATGATTATTTATGAATATTTGTTTAGATATTAAAACTAAAGAAAATATTCTGTTCCTCACATCAAAGCTAGCAATCAAGGAACATCAAACAGTAGTTGAGGTCTCAAAGCCACACTATCTTAAGGACACAAATGACAAAAGCATTTAATAGCACCTAAAAATAAATCAATCTAAGACGACCAAAATAAGTACATGCACCTGGGATTTCATTTGCAAGTCATTAAATATTTTTAAGAGACTGAAAGCTTCCTGTTTGTCTGATATGACTGTCATTTCTAAAATAATTCAATATGAAGGTAAACACCATGAAGTACAAACTTCTGCTGCTTCCACATTTAATTTCTAACTTGTGACAAAAATATGTCCCTTGTGGTCATTTAACTGTAGATCCATCTCTGAGCTACACACTCAAAACACTTATTTCAAACTTCCTTTTTATCCTGAAGTCTTCTCTTAAAACATACTATAAAACAGGAGACTTAAAAAGGGTGCATTTTACGCACTTTTCTGCTTACTTCTAGAAGTGTACAACAACTTTTATAGAAGTTATCTGCACAAACATTTTTACTTTCAAATATTATGAGCAATAATTTGTCAGGTTGACTTTTCAATGGAATACTATAAAAAGTTACTAACCTCCTGGTTTTGCTATTTAATCATAAAGGATCTTAATGTATCCAATTTCATGGGCTCAGTAAAATCACATTAAGCACAGTGAAACATCCAAGATATACCAAAAGAGCACGTGTGCAGACTTCAAGAGGTCTACTGGTTCCAAACAAGAGAGTACATTTGTTCTCTCAGTTGGACTTCTTTAAGCATCTTTTATTACAAGAATGTTGCTATACACACAGACCTTTGCACCTCTGCAGGGTATTTATCCTTCAGAAAGTCTTGAATGGATATACCCTAGCTGTTTACAAAAACATAACTGAAACCCTAATTTCAGAGTTACTTGTGATAAATTTAAGATTACTAGAAGTGGCCTTCTGGATGGACAAATTAAATAAGTCTTATTTTTCCTCCATTCTACTCTTCGGCCTGTCTACATGTGTCCCTATGGCAACACTGTTACTGCACTGTGATACAGTACTTCCTTCTGTGTTGTACGTGCAATACACACTTATTTTTGACAGCTACTTCGCCATAGTGGCATGCTATACTGAGGGAGCGTGTTGCTATGGCAAAGTAGCTGCTGGTCACATGTGGATGCTATCATGCCATGTGACCCTATGCAGACATGCCTTTTGTATACTTAAATGGGTATATTTACATTTTCTGGTATCTATCATCTAAGAATCCTGAAAATACCGAATTAAAAGTGTATCTTCTAGTGACAACTCAGCCAATATCACAACACTATACAACAGTTTGTATGTAGAAGTGATGAATACTTCCAAATTACACTACATAGTAGGTATATATAAATGCAAGTTACCTAAATACATTTAGGCAGGATACTGGCCTTAGCACCCTTGCTCCTGTAGAAAAGCACCCTGCAATCTTTAGCAATTACAAAGAGACAGAACCTCTTATTCCCTCACCAAAAATAGTGCGGGGTATTGTTTTAAGAAGCATAATATTTCCATAAGGCTGTTGTTCAAAAAGTTGATACTGGGGGCACCTCTCATTCATCTATACCACTTCTATAATTTTGTTTTCCTTGGACTTTTCCCATTCAAGTATAATCAAAGCTAACATTACTTTATTGGTTCTAATAAGCTTAAAACAGTTATGGGTGCAGAAAGTGACATCCATTCACCATGATTATTTGCTGGTACTGAATGCTTTAATGAAGTGTAACATTTTCAGTCTCTCAGAAACTAGAGGACAGTATATAGTACTTACTGGGCTGCTCCTTCCCTGAGAAGATTATCATTGTTAAGCAGTAATCGAACATCTGAAAAAAATAATTTAAAGTCTTAATTCTCTCCTCAAGATGTTAGAAGAAAACTCAAATTTATTAGCCAAGACAACAAATGAAAAAACTCTCTCCAGGAATGCATCTAAAAAGCAGAATTGATTACTTGAGAAAAACAGGTAACAAAGCTGTTCATACATTTCACAATCATGACTGCCAGATGTGAGGAGATTGGATTGAAATGAACTCACAGCAACTTTGTAAATAGATAAAAGCCATGCCATAGAAGTGGCATGATAGGCCTTGTAGGAAATGGCCAAATTTGCCATTAGAGAAGCACCAGATTCAGTTGGCTCCATTTATTAGTAAGACAACTGTTCAAGAATTTAAAAAAAAAAGTCCCATCATTTGTGGGACCAGGATTTGTTGGAGGTTGTTAATGCAGGCCTTTGCTAATTTTAACGTTGCCTAGACTGTTTTTCTTTTCCCCCTGTCCTACCATTATTATTCCAATCTCTTAATGGATACTGCTAACTGAATATATACTGCTAGATACCATTTTTATTCCTGGCCAGAAATTCTTGCATTTTAACTACATAAAGCTCTTTATTCTAATACATGTTCTCTAGAATGATTTTAAAGCAGTATCAGACTATTTTGACAAATAACACTCACCCTCACATATAATGAAAACCCTACATGCAGAATCAATCCTAACACTGATTGTACACAGTGCATTTTACGAGCTTAAGTTAAAAAAAACAACAACACACATACACATAAACAACCTGATATATTACCATATAAACAATTCAAATTTAGTTTTTAATTTCAAAGAACATAAAAACATTGTTATCACAGTAATTGTAATGTTATTTGTTTAGTTCTTGAACCCAAAGATTTCACAGAACTTATGTGAAGGGAGAAGCCACTGAAATTACTGAAAACTGATGCCTCGAACAGGAAACAGGGTTTTTCTACAAAAAAAATTCTGCATCATATTGAAAGTGTATTGGGTTTTGTTTAAGAAACTTTGTGACTCTAATCAAAGTTTTTAATTTTAGAGTCTTATAAGAGTCTTATAAATTGATTTTAGAGTCAATTTATAAGTCAGATAAAATTATCTCCCCTCCCCAAACCCACCCCCCCC